TCTCCTATCTGACTCACTCGCGCGTCGTATTTGTACGCCTTAGGAGAGCATAGAGAATTCTGCTTGCTTCCCCGAGGTCTTCTTATACGGGATGAATGGCCTTACAGCCTAGTCACGCCGATGCAAGGCGATGCGATGGATGAAACCAAACGTGCGCGGGAGAGCCACCGACCGGAGCAACAGGTGTATACCACAGAAAGGCGGGTCGGTGGCACGCCGATACTAACACGTGCTTGTACTTGCGCTCGTACATAGTTCGGTTTCAGTGCGACTAATGGACGTTGCGTCGTTATGTCTCCAACCGCTAATTCATCTCGCGACATACCATTTTAATTTCTGTCAGGCTTAACGTACGTTGAGCGAAGCCAAACAAAGTTGTCGTCAAACTTCCGATTAGGTATTTTTATTACTTTATCTACCACGAGTAATAGAATACAACAATTGAGATTCGTGCAGATATAACCTCGGCTCTACCTTGTTTTTATCTTAATAATTATCGATACAACATCTCGCCCTCGCGGATATCACTAATCGTGCATATGGACTATCAATTTGATAAAAAGGCACGGATTCGTAATAATATCCGCAAGCCTTGCAATTACAGTTTTCGACAGCATATAAAATAAGAGCGATAGACGAATTTGGAGACGCGTTTCTCTCGCGCAGTTTGTTCAGAGCAGCTGCCACAGTTGTTTGGTTGCCGAGTATTCTTGAGGTGTAGAGTGTAGAGGAAAGAGGGATAAGCCAGAAGACGTTGGTAGCACGTGCCTCGTGTCGGCTGTACTCGTGAAGGTTACACACTCACCCTAGCATATTCCAGATGGACGGGAGAAAAAAAAATCTCCTTATAAACAACCGGAGCTTAGGTTTGGAGCTGCTTTCATATGACATAGAATGTTCGTTCGACTTGATTATCCTCTTTCAAAACCGTAGGATTCGCAACAATCGTTATTATTTTAATTATTAAGTATTCTCTATTTACATTTTAGCATTTTATTTCTTTCTTCTTTCTTTTTTAGAACAATTTTAGAACGATATCATCAGCATTAATAACATAACATGTCTTTAATAACATAAATTATCATTTATATGTATCTTCAGTACATATACAAATAAACAATTAGTGATTACTGTAAAATTAAAAACAATTAAAATTATTAGAATCGTTGAACGTTGAAGATTTCAAGCATTAATTCGCTTTTTATAAGTGAAAGAAGTTGCAGTCGCAGAAGCGGGAAGATTGATTGATTTCTTTCTATATCTAGGTTGCATTCCAATATCAGCAACTGTCAGTACTGAAAACATCTA